AGGTGTCTGGATGCCTGGCCACTCTGTGGCAAGGTTGTCTGCTCCAAATGACACACGTAGGAATGTTTCCCGGTCCGTCCAGCTCGGCCAGCCTTGCTCTCTGCCCTGCTCACTTTCCCCTCCTCCGGCGGCCGCTCCCCTGGGGAGCACCCTGGGAAGGTCCAAGAAGGCCAAGCCTTGCTCTGGCTGCTTCTAACTGCCGCTCCCCTCCCCCCTCCCGCCCTCCCCTCAGCATGGGTGGGGAGGGACTCTGGTCCTCTGGTTCATAGGCAGAAGGTAGTTTTAGAAAGAGTTTGCTGGACCTGGGATGGAGAGATCAGGAAAACAGAGAATCCTCAGTAGCCCCACTAGACTTGCCTGCCCCCCTCCCTCCGACCTGGGAAGGGCCCGGGAGGAGAGGCAGCCAGCCCAGAGCACCCCCTCTCCCCAGGCCACAGCTGGAAACTCAGTAGGGCTCCCTACAGAGCAACAGCGGGGGCACCAGCCCGCGGTCACCTGACGGCTGCTGGCTATATTGGGCACCAGGCACAGGCGCCCCCTTGGCCTGGGCTTTAAATAGCCCACTGGGGGAAGCGCCTGGGACCTCCTGGAATGTGCCGCCTCCCTCTCAGGAAAGAGGCCCCTCCAGCGCCCCGGGGTCCCCACTGAGGCTCCTGCTCAAGCCCAGGCTGCAGATGGCAAAGCCGCAACGGAAAAGTCAGGGGCTCCTGTCGGTCTTATCGGCCTTGAGGCCAGAAGAGCCGCATCCAGCAGCCCCACTCCTGTTCCGGGCGCAGATGGGACCCAGGGAGCAGCCCCGACTGGGCGAGGCTGGCCAGCTCTGGGCTCCAGAGGCCCTTCGTGCAAAGCCGGATGCCACCCAGGTCCACGCCTGCTGCTGCTGCGGACCCAGTCCTCCCAGAGGGGGCGCTGACGTCAGACATCCCTGGAGGACGGCTGACTTTCGAGCTGAGGCTTCTGATCAACAAACCCCTTTCCCAACCTGGGCAACCTTCCTCCTCCCCGCCCGGAGGCCCCGCCCCTCTGACTGGCTGGGTCTCCATGCCACACCCTCTGAGCCCTCCTGGGGCTTTGGGGGTGGGAGTACCAGCGAAGAGCTCCCCCTGCCCTCCGTCCACCTCTTTTAAGGAGCAAGTCTGATGGATACATTAGGCTGTGCAGGCACCGGGCCAATCAGGCTGAGAAAGCCGACCGAGTGTGGACGAAGAGGGAGGGAGAACAGCTCCTCAACCCTGTGCACTCCCCCTGGAATGAGACCGAGGGTGGGAACCTGGAGGGGGGATGCCCACAGGCCTTGGAGCTAGGGAGGGGCCTGCTCCACCGACAATGGGGGAAAGCTGCTCAGTGCTCAGTGTGGCCACAGGAGAGGTACTGTGCTCTGGGAGGAATACTGAGGACCTGAGACGCAAAGACATGCAAGATCTGTCCCGTAGGTGGTTGGTTCTCAGAGCAGGTGTGGCCTGGGCCTCTGAGAGCCGGGCCTGGTGAAAGCAGGGTCCCTGGCCCACGAGGGTGGGCTAGGGCTGCTCCTGCAGAGCCCACCAGCTCCCAAAGGGCCCAGGGCACTGAGCCGAGCCCCCCCGCTGGGCAGTGCCCTCAGTGAGCTGCCCGTGGGCGGACTTATCTTGCTGGTCAGAGAGGAAGCTGCCGAAGACAGGCCTCCACCGAGACAGGGTGGGGCAGCACAGGGGGGCTGGTCAGACCTGTCCGGCCAGGTGGCCTCGGGGAAGTCACTTCCTCTCTCGGGTCTCAGTTTCCCCATTTGTAAAAGAAAGGAGGCAGGAGTGATGGCCTGTGGCATTCTGGGAGCCCGAGTCTTCACACCTTTGAGAACTGGATCCCAATCGCCTTTGCGGAAGCGTGCTGCCCCCGGAGGGGGCTGAGGGAAGGAAGGTCCCACTTTTGACAGGAAAGCAGCTAATTTCCCACAGAGCCATCGCTGCCTGCCACCCCAGCATCACTTAAAACGGCTCCGTCTCCAGCCTGCCTCCCCTCCTCCCCCTCACACTCCACAAACTTTCCAGAATGAAGGACGCAGGTGAAACTCCCCAGGTGCTGGAGGAAGGTCACTACCCCCAAAAGCCACCTCAACTCTCCTGCGCTGGCCAGACCCTACCCGGGGGGGTCCCGTGTGCTGGGCTCCTCCCTGTGCCAGTGGGCCAGTCCTCCCACAACCACGAAACACTGCCACCTCATCCTCGGAATGAGAGAGACTCAGAGGAGACATCAGTCGCCGAAGCAGGGAGGGGGGCAGCTTCAAATGCAAGACAGGACAGAGCTACGGCGGGCAGCTGGCGAAGCTGCCAGAGAGACGACTTGGAGGAGGAGACGCAGGTCTGAGGGACGCGGCAGCGAGGGCACCGGTGTCCTAAGTGACCACAGCACGAGGCCCCGCCTTCTACAGTCCGAGCTGCCCGAGAAGGACCGGGCGGGCTGTGGTCGCTGTGGGTCCCTCCTCACCCCAAGGGGCTCAAGCAAGGGCTGCACAGCACAGGGAGGCGGGAACAGGCCCGGGGCAGAGGGCAGCTCGACGGAGGCTGTGGGGTGGCACCACGGAGTGACGGGCTTCGCCGATGGCAGCCACCCCCGGAGAACCCCTGGCTGACACCGGGGCGTGGCGGTAGTCACTAGAGCCCAAGGTCGGGCACCAGTCCCCGGCCACCTGTTAGCCGCCCTGGCATTAGAGCTGCCTCGGAGAGCAGGTTCAGGCTGGGCTGGCACACTGTCGCCGGGCCTGTCCTAAGAGGAGGGGCTCCCTGTGGCCGCAGGTAAGGCGGAGGGCAGGGACCTCTGCTCCACATCACGCCCAACTTGCAGGCACGGCTGGCCCTTCGCTTTGGCCCCCCCATTCTCCCTGCCGGTACCCCAGTCCTGAGTGACCCAGGGCCACTGCAAAACCTAGGATCGGTGTCTGAGACCAAGCCATGTGAGCGTGAAGTCACTCCAACATAGACACAATGGCCAACCTTGGCAGCTGGCAGACCCCTCCCGTGCCCAGCTCTACTGAGCAGCTCCCAGCAGGGCCTCAGGCTCAGTCATCACCAGCTTCCCTCCGCCCGGGCAGTGCCAGCTGCAGGGGGCTGGGGGCCACCACTGAGCAGGGGGCCATGGGCTCCCTCCCTCCTGAGCCACCAGGGGTGGAGCGAGAGGGTGAGACCTGACAAACTCGTTCTGCGGGCACAGGGAGCGGGAGGGCGGATTCTCGGAGCCGCCCGCCTGCGGGGGACTCAGGTGCTCTCTCTGCAGCAGAGCCGCCAGGAACCCGGGAGCTGACCAGCATGGGGGCCACCGACTTCGTGCAGGAGATGCGCTGGGTGGGTGAGAGGCTGCTGCTCAAGCTACAGAGGCTGCCGCAGGCCGAGCCCGTGGAGATCGTGGCCTTCTCGGTCATCCTCCTCTTCACAGGTCAGTCGGGCTCTCGGGTTCTCCTCCGCTCTTCCCGGCACCAGGAGGCGAGACCACGGTGCTGGCCGGAGGGCTGGCGGAGTAGGGGAGAACACGGTGCTGGCCGGAGGGCTGGCAGAGTAGGGGAGACCACGGTGCTGGCCGGAGGGCTGGCGGAGTAGGGGAGACCGCGGTGCTGGCCAGAGGGCTGGCGGAGTAGGGGAGAACGCGGTGCTGGCCGGAGGGCTGGCGGAGTAGGGGAGAACGCGGTGCTGGCCGGAGGGCTGGCGGAGTAGGGGAGACCGCGGTGCTGGCCGGAGGGCTGGCGGAGTAGGGGAGACCGCGGTGCTGGCCGGAGGGCTGGCGGAGTAGGGGAGACCGCGGTGCTGGCCGGAGGGCTGGCGGAGTAGGGGAGACCATGGTGCTGGCCGGAGGGCTGGCGGAGTAGGGGAGACCGCGGTGCTGGCCGGAGGGCTGGCGGAGTAGGGGAGAACACGGTGCTGGCCGGAGGGCTGGCGGAGTAGGGGAGACCGCGGTGCTGGCCGGAGGGCTGGCGGAGTGGCTCGGTGTCTCCCAGGCAGAGGAGGGGAAGCAGATGTCTCTTGGGGGACATGCCTCAAGGGATGGGCTGGGTGGTGCTGGGACCAGAGGCATCCAGCATCCTGCCCCAGGGATGGAGGGACCAGAGCTCCGGGAGGCGGAGGAGGCACCACAGGGAGGAGGTCCTCGGGTATTTCTGTGCAGTGTGCCCAGCTGCGGGCAGAGGCCCTCCACACCTCCAGAGGGGCTTCTTGGGAAGAGGGGGGCGTTCCTTCTCTTCCCACCTCGCAGTTCTGTGCCCTCTGCCTCTCCCCGACCCTCCAGGCACCGTGCTGCTGCTGCTGCTGGTCGCCTGTAGCTGCTGCTGCACCCAGTGCTGCTGCCCCGAGCCCAGGGCCAGGAAGGCCCAGGTGCGGCCCGTGTCCCCCCCATGAGGACGGAGGGCTGACCGAGAAGCTGGAGAGGAGACGGTGACGCCACACCCGGGCGTTGGCCTGGCCCCCCAGCCCTGACTCCTCGGGACCAAGTCCACTGTCACAGCTCTGGCCCCGCCCAGGAACCGGACACGGCACGTGGGGGCTTGTCCAGGAAACAAGGGCCGTTGTAGTCACAGGACCTCCACCTGCCGAGCGCGCGGTGCCAAGGAGGAGCCACCATTTCGAGGACAGAGTAAACCACCGGGGATCTTGGCCTGCCCGCACTTTTTAACAAAACACGGAAGCAGGGTCCCCAAACCTCGACGGAGAACAGCCCGCACCCGGGGGAGCTGGCCTTGGGGTTCTGCTGACCGCGCCAGAGAGGAGCCGCCCAGTCGCGGGGACTTACTGCAGGAGCCCCTGGGCCACACTCCCCGCCGGAGCGGGCGCCTGTCAACATCCCGCCCAGTGTTTGCCTGTTTCTTTCCAGTAAAAGCTTTTTCGTTCTATGTTTCTGGGCATCAGACTCGCTGGGCTGGGCTCTGTGCATGAGCAGCGCCACGTGCCTGAGGACCAGGGGTGTGACCAGCGCTCCCTGTGCCGTGAAAGCTGGCGGGCCACGCAGGCGGGAATGCTGCGGAACCAGTGGCGGGTGCAGGGCGATGCCTGTCAAGCACCAGCTGACGAGCTCTGGCTCCCAGACGCCCACTGGGCAGCGATGGACGCTGCGTGTGTCCCAGGCAGGTGCTGGCTCAGAAACGCCACTTACCAGCTGTCACTGCCATTAATGGGAGCCTGCACCCTCGCGTTAGAGGCTCAGGCCTCTGGTCTCCCCAACTGCTGGAGTAAGAGAGGGGCCGGGCCCCATTCTGCCCACACCTGCATCCCGACGCCTTCGCCCTTTCCCTGCTTGTGTGCCCGACTGCCCGGTTCAAACCCTCGCCCCAGCACTCCAGCTGTGGGAATGCAGGTCAGTGATGCGACCTTCCGGAGCCGCGCTTTCTCCCTGGGAAATGGGCTAGTCCTGGTCCCTGCCTCCCGGGGTGCGCTCGTGGGGTGACCTAAGATGACCTGTCGGGCACTTGTCACGGCGCGGGGCACATGCTAATAGCTCCGCAGATGTCCTGCCTCCACTTCAGTCCGGCCTCTCTTCCAGAGAACATGGCACGTGGGTGCAAACCCAGGATGACGGCAGGGGAGGCAGCGGCTCCCAGGGCACCTCCCCTCCGTCCCCCCTGGTCCCAGGGCCATAAAGAGGTCCGCACTTTGCACATGCCTGTCATCGTGGGCAGCCCATGCTCTGGCCGCCTGAGAGCAGAAGCCCATGGCCGGAAAACAGGGGGTGGGGAGGGGATGCCAACCCTGCCACCACCACCCCCTCCAGCTGGCAGGCGGGCGGGGAAGCTAAGCTCTCTGGCTAGTTCCACTTCCTGGTGTCCAGGGACTTGTGGGTTTGGTTTCGATGGAAGATTCAGAGAGGAAGTGCTTCTGTACAAAATAAAAGAAGTCCAAAAATCTGCCTGTATCCTCAACCCTGCCCCCCCGAAGAATGGGATTCAGAATGATGACAACAATGATGATGGCGTGGCTATAAAGGCAACAAAAACCCACTGAGGGCTCACACTGCACACGCTCAGGCACTGTCTTCAGAGTTTGGCTGCAGGTAAGTTCATGTAATCATCGCAATGACGACGCTGTAGGTAACACTAGTAACACATTTTAAAGAGGAGGAAATTGAACCTCAGTGACACTGGATAGTTTGTCTACATTCAACCAGCTGCAAAGTGGCAGAGCCGCCTCTGGGCCCAGCCCGCCGGCTGCAGAGCCCCCACTGTCACACCCAGCCCGCCAGCTGCAGAGCCCCCACTGCCACACCCAGCCCGCCGGCTGCAGAGCCCCCACTGCCACACCCAGCCGGGGCCTCCCAGAGCGAAGACTCTGATCCATTACCTCCACCAACCAGCCCACATCCCCAACACCCAACCCTGAACTGTCTCAGAATAGCCTCCTGTGAGCGGGTGGGGCCCAGCCAGGTCTCCCTCTCGAAGGAAAGCTCCAGGAGGAAGGCGGGAGGGGCGGGAGGGGAGGCCCTGCCTCCCTCAGTCCCTGCACCACCGCCACCCTCCCCGGCTGGAGGGTCCCCAGGAAGCCCCCGTCCAGGAGCTGCTCCAACAGTGCAGCGGTCGGTCCCTGTACGACTTTTCCTTAAGCAAGTTTTCCCCCACAGCAAGGATGTCCCTTCCCGTGCTCGCTTTGGCTGCACATACGCTGAAAGTGGAACAACACGGACAAGATTAGCATGGCCCCTGCGCAAGGATGACATGCAAATTCGTAAAACGTTCCACATTAAAAAAAAAATAATGGTGTCCCTTCCTGAGGGTGGCCGGGCCTGAACCTCTTCGTTAGAAAAGATTCTAGCTTCCTGGTCCAGCTGCCAAGAGGTGGAGGCCAAAGGGCTGGCTGGCTGGCTGGTTTATTTGCATTTTTCTCCTCCAGGCCAGACAGTACCTAACTGCTGTGTCCAAACAAGACACTGTCCCTGTCCTCAGGGGGCTGGCTCCTCCCCATTCCTTGGCAAAGGGGCGCACCCTGAGCCCTTCCCACCCCACCCCACCAATCGGGCCAAGCCCCAGGCTGGCTTCAATCCCACCCAGAGCTGTGCCAGCGACAGCAGCCTGCACGCTCCTGGTGGGCAGCTCCCAGCCTGGGTCTCTCTGGGCAGGCGGGATGGAGAGGCGGCAGCAATACCCCCATCGGGGGACAACCTGAAGGCCGCCCCTTCCAGGGCGCAGCCAGACCCAACACTCCATTCCCCTCGGGACCGCGGCCCCCTGGACCGAGCCACCGCCGACGCCTGCCTGCGGTCACTGCGGCCGTGTCGGAGGCGGCTCCGCATCGCCCGTCAGGCTTCGTGCCTCCCTCTGTGGCCTCTGTGCTCTCGGTTCCTCAAAAGGGCCTCAGTCTGCACGTAAGGCCCATGCGTTTCACTGTCTGTACAACGTGCCTTTTCAGACGCCACCGTGCAGCCACCCGTGCAGGAGTCTCATTCGCAAACGGTGGCGGAGGGCCTGCAAACCGGTTTGGTCCTGCAACTTGCCTCTCAAACATTAACTACTGAAAGCAATCTACAACCAAATGTTCCCGGCGACGAACCTATTTGCTTGTGGGTGATACCAGTTCCAGACCATAAAACGCTGAGGCAAATTAATTTGTCCTTGAAAACAGTTCCCTCCCTGTCCTTGGGGCCTGGCGCCTGCCACAGAACCCCGGCTCCCAATTCTAATTCTGCCACCGTCTCCATGTCTCCACGAAAACCTCTCTCCTCCAGGGGCGGCCCCTCAGGCCCAGGCCAGGCGCTGCCACCGGCACCAACAGCACCCTCCCTGTCTCCCCCTCCCAGCCCACTTCTCTGCATGGTGGTCCCTTCAGCAGAATGTTCTGATCTGCCAGCAACTGACTAAAAGAGGTGGTGAAAGCGATGGTCTTCCCGCCTCAGGGAGGGCCAGGTCTCCTGGTCAGTGTGGCCAGAGCTCCGGGATTGTCTCGTTTGGTTTCGTGGAAGCAGAACAAGAATTTAAAAGACACCAGTGTGAGCTCCTCCTGCATTTTTACAAAACGCTTCCAGTCGTCCACACCAAGTGACACATGGCAGGAACACTGGGTGAGTGATTCCAGAATCACGCCAAAGTGGCCAGGGAGGTACTGACGGAAACCTCGGCTCCCACTCACTGAGGTCCGCACAGCTTCGGAGCTCAGACGCGGAGCGGAGTTCACACCCCGCGCAGTTACTCCTAGGCTATGTGAGCGTGCCTGTCCCAGCTGTAAAACCAGGGTTTCGGCTATCCTTGTTGCTTCATTTTTCACGTACTATTAACACGTTAAGCGCCCAGCCTGTTTGTCTTCTGGACGGAAAGTATAGTGTCAGTCACCGGTGACTGACTGTAATTATGTAATTACAATGACAACGGCCACAAACAGGTTTGGAACAAACAGCTGGTTCTTGATAAGCATCAGCTTCACGGAAGGAGCGGAAGTACAAGGGCATCCTAGGGACCCGCCCACGGGCTGGGAGCGGTCAGCAGGCCAAGGGCATTAGTCAGGCCGGCCTGGGTCAATTAAGCCCATGATTACTAAGAGGGACTTGCTCCTCACCCGCCTCCTTGCACCTGCTGCGCATCCGAATCACCTGGCCAGCTCTACGAGGCAGGGGCTGACACGCCCAGAGAGTGACGTCAGTGGCACCAGACGGGGCCTGGGCACGGGCACTTAGAAAAGCTCCTAGATCAGTGGTTCTCAATCTTCTGGCCCTTTAAATACAGTTCCTCATGTTGTGACCCAACCATAAAATTATTTTCGTTGCTACTTCATAACTGTCATGTTGCTACTGTTATGAATCGTCATGTAAATATCTGATATGCAGGATGGTCTTAGGCGACCCCTGTGAAAGGGTCGTTCGACCGCCAAAGGGGTTGCGACCCACAGGTTGAGAACCGCTGTCCTAGATGATCCTACAAGCAGGGTGAGGACAGGGCGCTAGAAATGTCAGCTCTGGGAGGGGGCCTGCCTGACTCATGCTGGGCAGCAGCGCCTGGCACAGCGGAGCTTGACACCTGACTTGTGGAGTGGTGACCGCCAGGCATCACATGCCAGGGCACCGGCCCATTCCCACTTCCTAGCTGCCTGTCACACCAGTGGGCGGGAACCAACCACACAAAGCAGCTGGGGAGAAGGTAGGCCCACAGCACCCAGAGCCTGCATGGGAGGCTCCTTCACCCAGAAATGAGTTCCAGGAGGCGCCAGCAGGAGGCGCAGTTCCCCATTCGCCCTGCACCACAGGAGGGAGCCTGAGGGGTGGTTCCAGCCCTGGGGCTTCTGAACCCTGGGCAGGTCCTTTCAGGCCACGTCATCCAGGCAGAGAGGGAAGGTGGATGGAAGGCCGGGGCAAGGGCCCTGACTCCAGTCTCTTCCCCTACTCACCCCAAGTCTGACTTCTCTTAGTGAGGACATCTCCACACGTGTGCCCTGAGCAGCGCCCCCCCATGACATCAGAGAAGGACAGAATGCAGCTGAGGGAGTAAGTGTGAAAGGCAGAAAGGGACCAGAGGTTGCTAGGCCACGGGCTCTGGCCCACCTTTGTCACCTTTGTGACAGCAGTGAGGTCTGGGCAGGGCCACCTGGCACTGAGGACACCTTTTCCTCCCATCAGCTGCTTCTCCGAGTCAGAGCACCGCTCTGGTCACCTGCTGGCCTCTCCAGCTCGTCCCCTAAAGTGTGGGCCCCCCAGGGTCACCCCATCCGCCCTCTCAGGACTCGGGAGTGTTAACAGCAGAGTCAGGTAAGACGCCTTCCTTCTCGGCCCTGACTCCCTTCTATTGGCTACAGGCTTGCCTCCAAGGAAGTTTCCAGAAGTCTCAGCTCAATGCTGTCCGCTCCTCCGCAGCCATGCTGCTCTCTCAAAACGCTTCCAACGTTTGGCAATCGAGGCAGGAAAAATAGGGTCTAGACTAGCGAAGCTTTAGCTGAGTAGGTCTCAGCCTGGGAGAGGAATCCTTGCTCACGTCTCTGAGAATCCAGAGGTGGCCTCCACAGGACTCAAAGGCCCCTGGGGGGGTGCCAGCCCTCACCCGTTTCCACAGGAGGCACGGAGCCGAGACCCCCTTCACGTCAGAGTCTGCCAGCTGCACGGGGCCTGCGGTTCTCGGAGATGGCCCAGCGGGTGAACCTGGGGGTGGGCGCGGGGCGGGTGTGGACAGCAACGCCTGGGGCAGGGCCTGGGGAGGCCCTGCACTCAGTGCCTCTGTACCCTTCACAGGTCCACATGGATCCACTGCTAACAGACCAGAGGCGCCTCTGGAAGGAAGAGTTCTGGCAGAACCCCTGGGACCAGGGGGGCCTGGCCGTCATCAGCATATTCATCATCACCGTCCTGCTTCTCATGCTGTTCGCCATTGTGTTTGGGGCACTCCCTCCGTCTGAGAAGGTCGACCAGTCTGAAGAGTCATGACCTGACTTTCGGGGGGCCACGGGGGGTCCACCTGTTCTACACTCTCCAAACACTGTGGGCCTTTCCCTCGAAGCCCCTTTAACAGTCTGGATTATACATTTTATGTGATTCTCGGATAAGCGTCTGTCTTTCTCACTGAGCCGAGCCCCATAAAAGCAGGCCCCTCTGTGCTCACCACTGTGTCCCGCACAGCTCCCCAGAGCCCAGTTCAATCTAGGCCTAAACACAGGGAGGCCTGGAGGCCGGAGGTCGCTTCAAACCTAATTACCATTCCTCCTGACACTAGGAGGTGAAGAGCCGGGCCTTGAATAACCACACGCTCCCCATGGCCGCAGCTCAGAGGAAGCAGAGGATCGAGGAGGGTTTTAGACTGAAGGGCTAACAAGTGCAAGGTGTCCCCAGCTTGTCCAAGTCCCCCCGATGTTCCGCCCACAATGCTCACAGCTGCTGTGCTCGGAACCCGCCCGCCGCCTGCCTGTCACTGCAGCTCCCAGGCTCCTCCCGGCCCCGAGGGCAGCAGATGCAGATAAAATCGTAAGTGAGTTCCAAGTGGGCAGGCTGGCCCGATGCGAGAAAAGCTGGTTTCTCTCCAAGCCAGTCACGCACGCACGCCCGCCGGGAGATAAGCCCGCTGCCCATGCCCGTTCAGGTCCAGGCTAAGGGGGCTCCTCCAATGAAGCCAGAGGCCCTGCTCAGGGCATGTGATGACCACAACGCCAACGGCTCAGGCCTGAGTTGCTCATGGGGCCACCCATTCCAGACGGGGATAAAGGAGGGTGGATGGACGACTACCCAAAATATTCACGCTGTCAGTTTCTGGGGCCTTCCACGAAAGAAAGGGGCCCGACTCCCAGGCCGCCTGGCCGGACACACCCACGCAGGCAGGGTCCCCTGGTGGCCCGAGAGTGGCCCTGCGTTAGCTGGTTAACGAGTGGGTGCGGGGCGAGGACAAGATCTCAGTCACATTTTGTTCAGAAACACGCGCATAAGTCACTCACCCCAGTTCTTCACAGAAGGTCACCAAGGCCTCAAAGGCCTGGAGGGCGGCTTTATCAGATGCTTTGTTCCCCCTCTTTTCCTGGAGACAAGAAACGACCATTGGTCCCGGTGGTCACCAGAGGGAAAGGGGGTGGGGGAGGCAGGAGAGGGGAAAGGGGGGATAAATGGAGGAAGACGCGACTTGGGGTGGTGAACACACAACACAAGGTGCAGATGATTATTACAGAACTACATGCCTGAAACCTATATAATTTTATCAACCAATGTCGCCCCAATAAATTCAGTAAAAAAAAAGGCAACGACCATTTAGTAAAAGTCTTACAGAGGTGAACTACCTTGTAGCTCAAAAAATGCTGAAAAAAACATCAAATGAGAGTAAGAAAGCCTCTTACAAAACAGTGTCCCCAAGCCTGACCGCGCATGAGCATTACCTGGGCAACTAAGAGGGACGCGGGCTATCCCCAGGCCACTGACGCGTGTTAGAGCCGTTAACACACGTGCCAAATCTTTCACTGAAATTTGCATTTATGTGCTCGCTGATGAGTCAACATCTCTGGATGGGCTTTTCTCACGTCCTTTGTTTAGTGCCAGTGGGGGGAAGCTCCCTATTTATTCTCAACTCCAGCCTTTTGTTTGCCTTCCACATTCTGTATTTCTCCAGATCTACTATTTAGTCTATGGTCTCTTTTTCATTTCCATTCCTAGGTACTTATGCTAATGCAAAGAAAAGCTGCTGCTTTTTTAAAAGAATATATATTTTATTGATTTTTTTACAGAGAGGAAGGGAGAGGGATAGAGAGTTAGAAACATCGATGAGAGAGAAACATCGATCAGCTGCCTCCTGCACGCCCCCTACTGGGAATATGCCCGCAACCAAGGTACATGCCCTTGACCAGAATCAAACCCGGGACCCTTCAGTCCACAGGCCGACACTCTATCCACTGAGCCAAACTGGTCAGGGCAAAAGCTGCTGCTTTTAAAAATATGTAAAATATACATTCATCCATCTTGCCAGGTTTTTTTTTCCCTCTCTCTTTTTTTAATTGATTTCAGAGAGGGAGAGAGAGAAACATCAATGTTGAGAGAGAATCATTGATCGGCTGCCTCCTGCACGCTCCCTACTGGGGTTTCCCACAAACTGGGCATGTGTCCTTGACCGGAATCGAACCTGGGACCCTTCAGTCCGCAGGCCGACGCTCTATCCACCGAGCCAAACCAGCTAGGGCTTGCCAGGTTTCCTTATAAATGGGCAGACATGCATTGACATTTCTACCTCCTGGTGTCTTCTTTCCTGTTCTCCTTGTCCCTGCAAGTGTGTGTGTGCGTGTGTGTAGTCATTATGTTGTCATTTTAGTGGGAACTGGAAATAAGAACTTGTATTTCATCTTTCTTTAGGAAAAGTCTACATGTATTCTTCTGCAACTTCACACATTATGCTTTATCCATGTTGATTCATGTAGATTTACTGGGTCATTTTTCTCTGTTCTAGATCATTCCACTGTGACTAACCCACTGTTTTCTTATCCAACACTCTACAGAGGAAGAGTCTGATTGACTATTAGGTGCTGCAGCCAACATCCCTGCACATCCCTGTACACGTGACCGGTTGTCTATGCAGACGTGGAGTTACCGAATCACAGAGCACCAGCATCCTCCACTTACGCGTCATCACCTCCTCTCCCTTCAGAGCAGTCGTGCGAGTTTACGTTCCTGACACACAGTGAGGTACCCTTTCCCACATCCCCACAAAGGGGGCTTACAGTCTGGTGGGCGTAAAACAGCTCATCGTCTAGTCTGCGTTTCTCCCATCCCTACGTGACGGTGAGCATCTGTTCACACGCTCACTGGAGTCCGGTTTCCTCCCTGTGACACTCAGGGAGGACACTTCTCGCTCTCAGCTGTTGCCTCACCTGTCACTCACCTGTCAGAGTTCCCTACATGCTCAGTCACTTATGTATGTTGCAAATATTTCCCTAATGGCTCCTTTATCACTGTGTTTATGGTGTCTCTTGCTATATAGAAATTTTTAGTTTGAATTTAGTCAAATAAGAGTATCTTCCTTGCCCTAACCAGTTTGGCTTAGTGGAGAGAGCGTCAGCCTGTGAACTCAAGGGTCCCAGGTTTGATTCCGGTCAAGGGCATGTACCTCGGTTGCGGGCACATCCCCAGTAGGGGGTGTGCAGGAGGCAGCTGATCGATGTTTCTAACTCTCTATCCCTCTCCCTACCTCTCTGCAAAAAATCAATAAAATATATTTAAAAAAAAATAAAATAAAGAGTATCTTCCTTGATGGTTTCTGCTTTTAAAATCTTGACATTCTCTTCCCTTCCTCAAGGCCATAAAGTATTTCTCCCCATTCTTACAGTCTTTTGGGGTCTTTAATCCATTGGTAATTCATATATGTACGGTATGGGAGTTAGGAATTTAATTTTATCTTTTCCCAGCACCAATTATTCAACAGTTCATCCTTTTTCTATTGATTTACAATGCTACCTGTCTTACATCAATTTTCCTTATCCAACACGGAAATTATATACATGGGTCTCTTTCTAGGCTCTGTACAAAGAATGTACGATCAGTTTTTTTTAAAGACTAAAAAGAAAAACAAAGAACTTATGCAGCAATATGAGAAAATGCTTATGTAACAATGCTGAGGAAAACAAGGCAGGACTGGTCTTGAGTATGTAAAGTAGCATGCACAGTGCTAAGATAAATTAGCATAAAGAAGCCTAGCCCTGGCTGGTACGGCTCAGTGGGTTGGGCGTTGTCTTATGCACTGAAAGGTTGCCAATTCAATTTCCTGTCGGGGCACACGCATGGGTTGTGGGCTTGGTCCCTGGTAGGGGGCGTGCAGGAGGCAGATGGTTGATGTTTTGCTCTCACGTGGATGTTTCTCTCTCCCGCCCTCTCTAAAAATCAATTTAAAAATCTTAAGAAGAACAAAAGTCTAACCTAGCTTGTTGCAATGCCCATCGACCAACATGCAATTCCCCCTTGCTATCCGGTCTAGCGCAGGAGCACCCCTGTAGCTTACAGAATCTCCATCTGAGCTCAGATATAAGCTGCGCGAAATCGGAAAGTTGTGAGTTTGGACAGAAAGGGCTCCTACTGCCTGGGACTTACCTGGAGTTTTGCTACTTCCTTCCTGATCAGGAAGCTGACTTGGTCCCGGTCGCTCCTGGAGTAATAGAGGCGGCACCAGGAAGGCTTCCCGTCCCTGCCTGCCCGGCCAGACTCCTGGTAGTACCCAGCCATGGACTTGGCAATGTTCCAGTGGGCGACGAACCTGTGGACCCAAAGGGGCAAGCAGCGTGAGGCGTGGCAGGAGACCTGAGGGGAGGAGCGATTCTGAGCAGGTGGAGCCGGGCTCTCCACAGTGAGCAGGGCTGGGTGGGCGCGCAGGCAGCGAGGACCCCAGGGCGAAGTATGGACAGGACACCTGCAGTCCATCGGCAGGCCTCCCTGCCCCAGAGCAGCCCAGGTCAGAGCCATAGCAGGAAAGGGGCCACTCCAACCCACATGAGGAACAAAAACGCTCGGTCAGAGGTCCCGTGGGCAAAAACATACTGGGCTTAAACAAACAAATCAGATCAGGCCACTGATGAGCCCCACGGCCTTGAAAAAGTCCTTGTGAATCTCTCTGGAGAGGGAAGGGATACCATTAGTACCTACTAGGAACCAGGGTATGTATTTGTCTCATTGAATTGTTACAGGCACCATCATGGGAGGCAGCCCCATTTCAGAGACAACGAGCCTGAGATGCAGAGGTGAACTGTACAAGGTGACACAGCAAGGGGACAGCAGAGCTGGGATCTGAGCCTGGGGGTGCCTGACTTCAAAGTTGGCCCCTAACAAGACACAGCCAACCCAGCATCCAAGCTCTGGTTCCCAGGTCCGTGCTTGGAAGGAGACTGGACTTTGGGTGGTGAACACAATACAGCAGACAGATGATGCATTGTAGAGCTGCACACTTGAAATTGTATATAATCTTATTTACTGATGTCACTCCAGTAAAATCAATAAAAATCTAAAACATAAAAAAATAAAGTCCGTGTCCTCTCAAATGTAGTGCACAGACTAATTCCTACCCTGACCAACTCGGCGTCGCTGTCGTCTC